GGGTAGAATCTTCAAACAGACTCCCCACTGAGTGCAGAGCCCAACTGGGGGCTCAATCCCAGCACGCCAAGATCATGACCTGAGCCCAAATCAAGAGCTGGATGCTTAACCAACTGAGCCAACCAGGCGGCCCACATTGTTTTATTTGTAACAGCTAAACCCTGTTACCAAAGGAAATCTTGCTTCAAATTTGAACACATTAAACAGATATAAGTGCGGGTGCCCCACTTGGAGTCCAGGAAGTTGGCCAGGAACCTGATCTGCTCTGCCCCTACCTCCCACCCCATTCCAGCTCCCAAGGCATCTCAGCACACCCTGGGTCTTCAAGGATCCCTTCGGAAGATATCTGTTCGGAGCCCCTCTTCTTCCTGAGGGCAGAGCTAAGATCCAGAAAGTTTCAATGGCGCAGCCTAGGTCACACATCTGGTTGCTGGCAAGTTGGGTACTAGAATTCATACCTGTCCACAGATCTTTTCATTCTACCATAATAATCCTTTGATTCCTAGGCCAGCCCCAAAAATTGTGTAGTGAGCTCTCTCACACCTTATCGCAAATGCAGTATTGTACTATAGAATCAAAGGGGTTGCCTGCATCTATGGTGACTCAGAAAACCCCCCTCCCTGTGCGGTCCTGGTGGAGGAGGGCCAGGTCCTTCCACTGAAGCTCCTAGAGACTGCTTCCCCGGAACTACTGGTCCTTCCCCACACCCAGGGGAAGGCAAGAGGCAGGGGATGGCACCAGTGGGCAGTTTTACCAGTGGCAGGGGAAAAAGCAGGAACCCCTGGGGTCAAAGGAACATTAACTCTATTTACGAATTGAGCATAGATAGAAGCTATCGTAATACCATGAAAAAAGACAAGATTCAAGGACATCTTGCAAGTAGGTACCATAGAGATTTTCTTTTGTCTTTAATTTTTATTGCTGACGGACTTAAATACAGCTGCACACCTATCCTCTTCATTTGCTGGGACTTCAAGTCTTGCTGACTGCGTTTCCGGTCTGGGCAGAACTTTGAGAAACCTAAGAAACTTCTCTAGAGAGACCTTTCATTTGAAGTAGCTTGTTCCCATTGAAGCAGTGCTGTAGTTTTTTCCCACCTTGGTCTCACAGTTAACTTTCCCATCATGCAGCTGCTTTTTCTAGCACAGATTCTCTTGGTCCACACGCTTCTCAAGTGAGTTCTGTGTGGGTGAGACACCCGACTCAGATCTTCTCATCAGAAAGGGTAAGTTCTCTTGTCAGGCCCTTCTTTTCTCAATTATCCCACCTCCCTTACAACTCTCAAGCTGGTGAGAAATCTTAATAGTCTCCTGTAACCACAATTGTGAATCCCTAAAGCTTTCTTTGAAACAAATTACACTTGTCATGCCATCTGAATCTAACAGTGTTCCATAGAAGAGTCATGTTGACTGCCGCTGACAACAAAATGGTGCGCGGAAATGCAGCTATCACCCGCTCTTCTCAAGTTCACGTTACGCAACTTCATTTTGCTGAAGGACCTACATCGGTACCTGCTTTTGCTCACTGAGTGAAACACAAAAGGGATTTCCGCTTTTAGGGGAAAAAAAAAAAAAAAGGCAAGGTGAAACGCTCCAAGTGCTGAGTGTCTGTGTTGCACTGACTGAGCCTCTATGGAAGCATCGGGCACCGGAGCAGGGACAGTGGCCCCTGCCAACCCCGGCTGCAGGAGCCAGAGCCTCCCTGAGGGGCAGGCCGCCCTCGCTTTGTACTACGTCCAGGAGCGTGTGTGCTTTATCTTCATCTAGTCTGTGCATCCATTAGCAAGATAGGGCCTAAGGTAGCAGAAAAGCCCAAGAGAGGTTATTTTTTGGGATCTGGGAACACTCAAAAAATTTTCCATATAAATTAAGGATCATGGCTTTCTCCGTGTTACCCTATTTCAGCTTCCAAAAGTTTTCGCAGGACTGCCTTACTTTCAGAGAGTGGGGGGGAATCCTGTAGCTCGCTTCTCCTATTTGGAAAGGAGCATCAACTGGCTGATACCTTTGAGAAAGGATGAATAAATCTCCTAGGGGTTTTGGTACTAAAAGGTTGCAAAATACGAGATAATTACATCTAAAGTGCCATACAGAAAAGAGGGGCTAATTTGCAGTGTCGGAAGTATTTTCCGAACAGTAAAAACCCGATTCTCCTACAAATATGTAATATGTTGAAGGTTGATAGAACTCATCAATGAGGGGAAAAAAGCAAGGTGGTAAAGCTATATATACTGATGGGGCTCAGGACATATAAAGCGAATGTGAAAGCTGAAGGAATCTGAGAAACTGCAGGTGCAGGAAGACTTTGTGACCTTCCCCTGAAGCCGATCCCAAGACCCTCAGGTGAGAGGCGCCCTCCTACATCTGAAGGAAAAGGAGCACCCTTATCTCTGAAGGGGAGGGACACCAAGAGAAATCTGACGGAGCAGACCTTGCTTTTCCCCCAGTTTACTATACTCTCCCTTTTGTTCTATTTTCCCATGACTCTCCACTCCTCGTCAAGCCTAGCATAAAAATGCTCAGGTTTCCCTCCCTTCTCCTATGGTCCTCCATGCCATTCCTTACGTTCCACATGCTTTGTGTAAGCAATATCACGCTGTCAGTGACACTTTCCATTAAATAAAAGAGTGATACCAAATTAATAGTTTTTGGAAGATTTCAATAAAATGATGACTATGATAAAAAAATGCTCAGGTTTAACTGCTTCTTTGGGTCATTTCCTTCTGAAGGCTCCCATGTCATGTAGAACTTAAATAAACTTGTGTGCTTTTCTCCTGTTAATCTGTCTTTTGCTATAAGAGCTCCAGCTTAGAAGGGTAGCTTAGAAGAACTCAGAATGACAGAGGAAAAATTTTTCCTCCTCTAATACAAATATACACACATATACACACATATATATTCAATGAACGACCAGAAGAAGAAGATCGCAAAGTTAGATCAACACTAATGGCAATAAGACTGATCTCTTGGGTTGTCTTCACTTTGGACAGAAATTGTTTGCAGCACGTTGATTTCTACTTTTTATGACCCACCTTTCCAGAATCTGAGCTCTAATTAATACAAGAGTATGTCAAAGTTACATTTCCCTAAAAAAGTCAAAGACTCCTGTGGTTTTGTAGATAATGCTCTAGTAGGTCTTTAAATGTGGCAAATCTTGTTGCCCTATTTCTAGGCTTTCAGTAGTTTTACTTAACGTAGTTTTTGGCTCTAAATACTGCAACCCTGTGACTTGGTCACTGAACTCTGGCAAGGAATATCTCATCGGGGAATCCTAAACACCTACAGATTTACACGCACCTCCAACATGCATAATCTCACATGCTTCCGACCCCAGCCCTCTGAGATTTTCAGGTCTCTTTATTCTTACATGTAAGCAAACAACGGTTCATAAGGATTGTGACTTACCCACGTTCTTGGTCAGAGCCGGGACACAGCCTCAAAGCCAGATCTTCTGAGACCAAACCCCAAGCACGTCTCTCGGTAGTACTGTCCTCCGCATCCCCGCACACTTGTAGAGAATCTCGTTTTAAATAGTCTTTCTATTGAGGGAACAGGAGGCAGGTGGCCAGTGTTACAGATGAGACACCGAGGACCAAGATCACCTGCTCTCAAACGGCTGAACCCATACAGGGCCCAGGTGCTCTGCACAAGCCCCTGGAGTCAGCCACGCTGTCTCCTGGTGCTGACCCATACTCCATCTCTGGATGCCAAGACTACTAGACAAGTTGAAATCCCTCCACGCCTCTGCTCTACCCAGGCCTAGTGGCCCTGCTAAGTGACCTCAAATTACTCCTTCCCCAAGCAAACTCCCTTTCCAGCCCGTCTAGCTCCCAGCCTCCTCCTGGAGCAGGCTGATAAGACTCTAAGGTGTTGGTCACTGGCAACAGCTAAAGCTGCGGTTCCTACCAGGGTTATTTGCATTTTAAAAGCTGATTTGAGCTGCTTTCTCACCCTCTGCCTCACGTGTGGGCAGAAGAGAGGACTGAGAGCCCTGCAAACCCTCTTACCCCAGGCACTAGCTGCAAATGGAACTATGGCTTACACTTTTGACTACTTTTTTTTTTTTTTAAAGATTTTATTTATTTGAGAGAGCGTGAGCAAGGGGAGGGGCAGAGGGAGAAGCAGACTCCCTGTTGAGCAGGGAGCCTGACACAGGGCTCCCATTCCAGCACGCTGGGACCATGAGCCACGCCAAAGGCAGACACTTAACCAGCTGAGCCCCCCAGGCGCCCCACCTTTGACTACCTTCCTACTGTACATCGTTGTTTTAAATTATAAAATATGAACCTAAAAATGGTAATGAATTCTTGGGGAAGTTTCTATGTGATTTCTTAGCCAATATTTAACTCAAAAGTACAGGTGTTATTCTGCATTTTGGGTACAGGGTTGCTGAAATGTTCGATGTTGAACATGTCAAAGGTGGGAACTTTGATTTCCAAGTCATGACTTCCAGAGTCCTCACAGGGACTTTTCCAGCAATCCCCAAACACAATGAGCCTACCTGCCCATATGGAAGCCTGGCCCTGAGCGAGCCCCAGCTGTACGTCCTTTACCAAACGTAAGCACTTTACCAGTTTCAAGTTCATGTATTTAAACACCATCTATCCTATTTCCCCATCCTCCCAGCCCGTCGTAACCACCATCTACTTTTGTTTTTACTAACGGTGGCTTTTGCTGATTTCACATGTGATAGCATACAGTATTTCTTGGCTGTCTGACATCTCATTTGGCACTAATGCCTTCAAGATCCATTCACATTGTTGCAAATAGCAGGATTTTCTTCTTTCTGGTGGCTGAAGTATATTCCAATGTATGTATGTGTACATATGTGTGTATATATATATACACCATGTATTTTTTCTATATTGACGGACATTTAGTTGGTTTCTAGGCTATTGCGAATAATGCTGCAATGAACTAAAATATGGTATATGATATGGGCAACAGTACTGTACTATAAACATCAAACTTGCTAAGAGACTAGGTATTTCTCACCACAAAAAACAGTGAGGTGTTAGCCAATGCTACAACAGCATTCACACTGCAACATATAAACCTGTCAACTGACAGGTTTACACCTTACACTTATACAACGCTACACGTCAATTGAAAATTTTTTAAATGTTTTAAAGCAAAAAAATAAAAGCCCACATATAGAAGCTCATTTAATCCTCACAGTGGCACATGACATGTGCATTATCTTTTTGTAAATGAAGAAACTGAAGTGTATTGGCTATGGATCTTTTCCAAGGATGCCCAGTGGAGAGAGCCAGGCTTCAAATCGCAGCGTGGTTCTGGGCTGGTGCCCCTGCCTCTCATTTTACTGGATTTTCATTTTCAAAAGGGGTGTACTTTGCATGCAAACATAGAGCAGAAGACACCTCATCCTAACCCTGTTCACCTCTAGGAGTCCGGCAATCAACAAAAGTTTGGAAGGAAGTGAAAAGCTACTACGGAAAAGCAAAGCAGGGAGCACCTGGGTGGCTCAGTGGGTTAAGTGTCTGCCTTCGGCTCAGGTCATGATAACAGGGTCCTGGGATCGAGCCCTGCATTAGGCTCCCTGCTTAGCTCCTCCCTCTGCCCCTCCCCACCGCTCGTGCTCGCTCTCTAATAAATAAATCTTAAAAAAAAAAAAAGGAAAAGGAAAGCAGGCTTACGTAGAGAGGAAAATACAAACACTGTATTTTACCATCTGTACTAGGCCCTGATGCTCAGACCCACCATTATTTTATGTATCACAGAGAAAGCAAGCTGCCTGTTAAAAATGACCAGACTAAGATGCCATCAACTAAGATGCATTCTTTCGGGTTTGTTCAACTGTGATCAAAACGTGCATTGTTACAACTGAAGAAACAGAGTAAGATCCAAGCGGGGCGGCACCAGGTGACAGACGAAGGAGCTTGAGGTCCCAGGGGTGGGGGCAGCAGATTGCACAGTTTCTCTGGCAAAGGCCCAGGATGCTCAAGCTGGTATTACTCCCACCCCAGAGGCTAACTAGATGCTACTTTATGAGAGTATCGGTACCCATTAACTAATCATCGTGGCCAAGGGAACGGTGGTGATTTGGGAGACCTGGGTCATATGCACCTGGTAGAGGCAGGCCCGTGAAAGGTGGGAGGGGAACCCCAGGGGTGCCAGACAAAAACATAAGTCCACCAGGTTATTAACACAAGCAGACACAGTGGATTCCAACAGTTCAATATTTGGAACTAGACTTAGGTATTAAGCAATAAGGATGGAGCACAATTGTTGATTTGGCAAGAAAAAGAAAACCTGACTTGTCTTTTTTCCCCCACGTGGCTTTCTTGCTGTCACACACCCATCTTGAAGAAGCCTGGTCTTTCTTCCCACCACCGCACACTGTTGAACGTCACAGCGAGTCATGTCTTTACTGGTAGGTGTATCAGTAAAAATATGCATTCCAAATGCAGGAGGATTTCTATCTAAAAGTCAAGTCTGTTTTCAAGCATCTGGAAATCATTTAAAATATCTGAATTATTCATTATGCTTGATTATAGTCATCAAGAGCACAGTCAGTTGATTCTCATAACCTTACCAGATTCCTATCACCTTCCATTCAAGTGGTCATCACCCAGTGGGCACAACTCAGCACTAATTATTCTCCCTCAAGACATAATTAGGGTGCCTGGGTGGCTCAGATGGTTAAGCGTCTGCCTTCGGCTCAGGTCATGATCCCGGGGTCCTGGGATCGAGTCCCCCATCAAGCTCCCGGCTCAGCGGAGAGCCTGCTTCTCCCTCTGACCCTTGCCCCTCTCATGCTGTTTCTCTCTCGCTTGCTCTCTAAAAAATAAAATCTTTAAAAAAAAAAAAAAAAAACCATAATTAATTCCCCTCAGAACAAGAGTGCATGGACCAAAATTTCTCAGTACCACATTTTTGCAGCTTTGTCCACGTAGATTCAGCAGGGGGCATGAATCCATGTTTAAAAATTGGATAAAACACTTTGATAAAAGATTCCAAACACTATTCCTTTATAGAGATGGGAGTGGAACCAGCAGCACATCTTCCAAGGCACTGCTTGGGGTACAAACATGTACACAGCAATCAGCGTCTGTTTGCACACTTTGGAATGCAGAGCAGAGCCGCCATCTAGTTCCTGCTCAGAAAAGTCGTGGGAGTCGTGGGATCCAAATAGCAAGCTCTATCTCTTGGGTAAGAATGGTCACTTAAAAGCTTTAAGAATTCACTGGGGAAATGGTTAGGGAATTTTGGTCACTTTGGTGGTGGTGGTTTTCAACTGAGGTGAGAAAAGATGGATTCGTTGGTGGCCATAACGAATACCACAGACTGGGTACCTTCAACCACACAACTTCATCTCCTCCCGGTACTGGAGGCCAGAGGTCCAAGATCAAGGGGTCAGCAAGGCGGGTTCCGTCCAGAGGCTTCCTTCCTTGGCTGGTAGACACTGTCATCTCCGTCTTCATGTGGTCTTCTCTTTATGTGGGTTGTGTCCTCATCTTCTTGTAAGGACACCAGTCATACTGGATTGGGGTTCACCCCTAGAACTGTATTCTACCTGACTTACCCTTTTAAAGGTCTGTCTTCAAATACGGTACATTCTGAGGCACTTGGGGGAGGGGGGTTAGAATTCCAACACAAAAACTCAAAGAAGTCAGCCTGTACCAGGTGCAGATTATGATAAACTTAGTTTCCTTGGGTTAAGCAAGGTCACAAGTGAGAAAAGAGCTCAGGCAGCAGATTTTTGCGTTTAGTTCATTAGTTTGGGTACAGAACGTTTATGGTTAGTGGCTCCGTATTAACTGCTGTTTTTGAGACCTTGTGCTCTCTTATTCTAAAAATACACACACACACCCTCATCTTTCCAAGACTTTTAAGATGTAATCTTTTCAAAACTTCTTTGAAAATAGTAAGACAAGTGCCATCTCATGTAAGAGCCAATCCTCTGAGAGTGAGCATGCAGGAAGCCATTTCCTGCAAGAGTCCTTATTCCATTATGCAAACGCACAGCACCCCAGGCTTAAAAGGAAAACAAGGTTCTTCCTTCCCTGTAGGCAACGTCTGATTCCAGGGAAAAGTATGGGGTTGGTGCAACCTGAGAACTGCAAAAAGCTCTATTTGGAAATTAAAGACATTCTCCAATCAAGCTCTTTCCATGGAAAATAAACCCTTCAGCCAGCCCGGTTGCTTTCGGTTTGGTTAAAACCATTTGTAGATTTCTGCTAAAAATAAAAATGGTCCAAACTCTCAAGAACAGAGTAAAGAGAAAAGCTATCGGTGAGTGAGCACTAGCAACAAATAATCTGGAAGAACAGAAAGCAGTGAAGAAAGAGGCAGGGCAGAGAAAGGTGAATGCCAAGTGCATGTGGGGAGCAAGCGAATTCTCACTGTGATAGATACAAAATGCTGTGAGGTTCTAGGTACTGCAGAGACGCCTGGGGTGGAAAACGGGGACTGCCCCAAACTGGTTTACTACCACTCTGTATCTTGGCAGAAGGCCGACAGTGTATTTTCTGGACTTGCACGGGTTCAATTCCTCCAGGTTTGGGGCCCAGGAACGAGAGAGCATGAAGGAGAGGCGCTCTCCTTACTCTAAGTCGCTGGGTTAACTCAAATCTGCGCCCTGAGTGCTGAGCAGCCAGAATACTGGCTTCCAGGTGGACTTCTCTCCAGAGGCACTGAAAGGCCAACAGATCCTGACATCTGGAGGGCTTTGGTGAAACAGCAGCTTCCACACCTGTGCAGTGAACCCTCAGCGGGAGAGAAGAGGAAAACACCTGCCCCTTTCTCATCAGTTGCCAGTGTCTGAAATACAGAGCGAGAGCCAAAGATCTCTCTAGGAAAGCCTCAAACATAGGACAGAGACCAAGATAAACAAAGAGCAGATAACAGTCTCAAGAGAGACAAAGCAAAGTAAAACACAATGAAATAAAATAAACATAAAAGACAACATCCTGAGACATATGCACATCCAAGGCACAAAAAAAGGACACTTCCGTGGGAAGGGCTGGTGGAGGAAGCAGAGGAAATATGTCACTCATTTCTGGGCAAAGGAAAAAGCCAAAGCCCAAGAAGTAAAAATTAGGAGGATCAAACCAAGCACTCAAAATCGCAGTTAACAGGAGTTCCAAAGAAGAAAGAAAACAGAAAAAAAAAGTCAGAGGAATAATGCAACTCCCAGAATGGAAGAGCCTAAGTCTTCTACAACGTTGCCAAGTGCCCAGCATGAAGCATGGAAAACAGACACGTGTCATATACCAACGCACAGTTTCCTGCAAGACAAGGCAGCTGGGGATTAGAAACAGTGCTAACCTCCCCCAGAAGCCCTGCTCCCCTGCAAAAGGCCACATATTAAAAAAACCGAGAATAAGGATGGCGTTCGGCTTCCACAGCAACTCTACATCAAAGAAAATATTGACCAATGTCCTTAAAATTCTGAGGCAAAATTAATTTCAAACCAGAATTCTATATCCAGCTAAACTAGGTACCCAGGTGTGAAAGGGTGTGAATGAAGACATGCGGACTTTAAAATTTTATCTGCATTCTTTCATAGGAGGTTATTACAGATTGTGCCTCATTCAAGAGTGTTAAATAAGAAAGAGAAATGTATGGGATCCTGGAAATGGGCTTTCCATAGGAGAAATGGAGGGAAGGCCCAGGATGATGGTGGTTGTACCGAAGTTCCTCAGGACATCCAGAAAGCCAGCTGGCTCCGGGAGGAGTGTTTAAGGGAAAAACAGGAATGCCAGTTGACTCAATGTGTTAGTGTGGAAATTAAGATTCAGAGATAGTCAGGTTAGCACACTTTCAAGCTGACAGTTTCTCAAGATCCAATTCAAAACGGCCTGATAAATGGGCTTACCGTCTCACCTAACCGCACGTCCAGCAGTAGGACAGCTCCAGGTGTTGATTTATCCGCAGCTCAACTTCCCACCTTTGGCTCAGCCGTCATCAGCACGCTCTCTTCTACCGCGGCCGCAAGATGACACCAGCTCGAAGCATCGTCAGCACATCTAAGGTTGGCTGGCAGGAAAGGGACTGTTCCTCGGGGGTCTATGGTCTAAGAAACCTTTCCCAGGAACACCACTTCCAAGGTTCACTGGCCAGGCTCCTTAAAATCCATCAATGACTTAAAGATACTGTTTATTTATTGGAGAGAGACCGAGAGCAGGAGTGGGAGGGAGGGGCAGAGGGAAGAGTGAAAAGCAGACCTCCTGCTGAGCAGGGAGCCTGATGCGGAGCTCCGGAGCTCGATCCCAGGACCCTGAGAGCATGACCTGAGCCAAAGGTCAGGTCATGCTCCTTCACCGACTGAGCCACCCAGGTGCCCCCCCCCCCCAGGGCAGTGAAAAGTCTTAATCTATATTTTCCTATAACAGAAGTCAAAAGAAAATGCCTACAACTAATAGATCAAACAAACAAACAAAAACAACAAAAACCCACATCTGCATTTACAAACTAAGCAGAGCTGAAAAGAACTGGAAGTCCTTACTTCTGGGTGGACGGGGCAAAGCAGGGGTGCAGAGGAAGGGCTGCTGCTTTGGTTCTGCTCCAATTTGAAAATGATGTATGGTACTTTGTTTAGTCTCCTAGACGGAACAAATAGTAGGGCTTTCTCTCCGCTTCTCCGCTTCTGAATGCGCCCTTTATATGGAAAACACACTCACAATGTGTTCGTCAAACAAAAGCAAGCTCTGATGTGGCCTTCTCCCCATCTACCTCCTCACCCCATCCCACCTCCAGCCTGAGGCTCCAAGCCAAAGGCCAGTTACAGGTATCAGCTCTTCTGTTCCCCGGATAGGTTCCATGTTCCCGGCAGGAGAGGGGGGAGGGAGGGATGCCGGTGTCTTCTATGTGGGGGATTGTCTTGGGCCGCGCAGTCTGGTTCAACAAGGCACAGCAGTTCTCCAGCAGGTGGGGCGCAGGGGCAGACGGGCGGGGGCGTCCTGTCCCACGGGCTAGAGAAAGCCCCGAGGCTTGGAATCCAAGCAGGTGGGGGCTACAGGGGCCCTGAGGAGTCTACCAACCCTTCCACACTGGGCTGCTGACCACCAAGCACAGTTAGAAAATTCAAACATCCTCCTCACACTTAAACTTCTGCAGCGCTGTTAACAAACGTGCATCTGCTTTCTTCTAACGCAGACCCTGTAAAGGCTTCAACTATTTCAGGCAAAGTCTCAAGGGAGAAAGTCTTATCACAAGGGGTTATCTCCTTGGAAGACCTGGCTCCAGAGATAGGGAGATTCTCCCAGTGACCTTGATCTTAACACCGCTACCACGGTGATGCCCTCATTTCTGTAGCACATGTCCCCCTAGGAGCCTTTCCTTACTCCAGGGCCTTTCAAACAAAATCTAACCCGGAACCCAGTCCCTAAGGAAGCGGGGAAGGCGGCTGCTCTGGCTCCACGGTATCCCCCTCCCTGTAGCCCTCAAAGCCCCAAGGCTACCGGAAGTTCCCCCAAGCAGAACTATTCACTTTCACCTCTGCTCCCACCACAGACTACCCTGGGCTCCTTCTTGCTAAGCCCTGCCTTCCTTCAAGGTCCCCAAGCCCCACCTCCTCCATGAAGCCTTCTCAGACTACTGCTTCTGAAGACGTCTTCTCTCTTGAGTCAACTCATGCTCCTACGTGGTATGTATTTGGTTGGTCCCAATGTCTAGGACGGTTAAACTCTTATGTTACCGCCTCACATCTAATTTGCTCACTACTCAGTATGATAGAGGACTTGGCTGGGATTAAAAAAAAAAAAAAAAAGACCATTTTTAGAAATTGTTTTATAAATAGACCTCTTATACAAAAAAGAAAGATATACAGAGCACCCAGATTCCCAGGAAGGTGGACCCGAGCCTTTCTTCTCCACACTGGGAAAAGAGGACAGGAAAAATGATTCTCTCTTGTTCTTAACTGTGTCCACTATGCGGCCAGTTTTTCAAGTAGCATTTCTATTCCTTTGCTGGTGTTTTTGTTTTTTTCCAGTGTTGGAATGAGGCCTTTCAATCCAGCCTTGACTTTGTGTGCAACTTCTTGATCGGAACTCTGGAGAAGGCTGAAGAGAGAAGACAAAGATTAACAAACAAACAAATCATGTTTCATAAAAACCCCTAATCATCTGCAATTACTATCGCCTCACAAGGTATAAACAATTCACTGATTTGTGAGACAAGTCTTGTAATTGTAAGTACATCTTTTGAATTCTCCAGCTGAATGATGGGGGCTGGCAGCCCACGTTCTGAAACCACATCAACAGAAAACCTTTTCTAATCTTGCTGGGAGAGTCACTCCCATGTAGGAGCAACTCCGCCCCGTACAGAATCGGTCCGACATTCACTGTGATTAACACGCTGTCTTAGAAGTATTTCCTGCATGTATTCTATCTTCCCTTCCCCACCCAGATGAACTCAAGAACAGAAACCTTGGGTTTTACTTCCTGATTTCGTGGCCAAAGAAATGCCATGCAGAGCAGATGGCCAAGAAGTGCCATGTGACCGAACGAGCGGGAGCGGAGGGGTGCAAAGAGGAAAGGCAGAGGGCCCGCCAGGGAAGCAGGGAAGGGTCAGCCTCCACGACTTTGTAGCTAAAACATGGGAAGGGCTGAGCAGCTTTACCTTGGAGCCTAATGGCCTAGATGTGAAATCTACCTCTGCCACTCAGTAATTGTACAAGCAGGAGCATGCTATTTAAATTCTCTAAGACTGTTTCCTGACCTATAAATGGGATCAGCAACACAATCCACCTTCTACCTCAGAGAGTTTTTGAGGCTCAAATGATCTCGTACTACACCACCCACACAGAGCCTGACCCTTAGGAAGCACTCAATAAACGTGAGCCATTAAAACAAATAAACAAGTCAGCTCCACTTTCTGAAACCTTGCTAGAAAGCTCTATCCCCACAAGTGAATGGAGTCCAGTGAAGTCCTGGAGGCTGGAAACAGGAAGGCCCCTTTCACTTTAAACAGGGGCTGGGACACAGGGGCCTGCCGGTAGAACGCCGGGGCTGAGTCTCCTGGGTTCCCCCTCTTCACGACCACACATTAATGCTGACCTCTGAAACGCATCCTAGAACCAAATCACATGGCACTTCCCAAAGTCCCTGGTCCTAAGGCCTTCCATCACGTGCACAGAGAGGAGGGTGAGTTAGCAGCGCCAGGCAGCATGCTGCTGTTTGCGGGAGACAAGCAACAAGTACAGCCTGCCACCTGCAAAGCCGAGGAAGTTGTTACAAGTCCCTTTTAACAGGTTTGTGACTCACCAGGCAGTTTTTATTTTCTACGCTGGCTAAGCACATAGTGACATAATGCACAGCAGTAATAAAGGTTAGTATTTGTTGAACACACGCACTGGATGTAACCATCTCATGCAGTCTGCACGACGACCTGTGATGATCCCGAATCTGGTTTTCTAACCAAAAAAACTAAGTTTCAGAAAAGCTGAATAATTTGCCCAAGACCACACAGTGAGCTGGGACTAGAACCCAGGCAGTGAGCCTAGAGCCCATCATGCTCTAAATGCTAGAGAATTCTGTTTCCCTGAGTCATTTTTCAGACTGCATACAAGGCTGAAACTCTTTTTTTTTTTTTTTTTTTAACCCAGGATGCCTTTTCACTTATTGTAAAAAAGATTTACGGGGGAAAAACACTGCATGAGTTTGAAGTAAAATATAAAGAAGCAGAGAATTTTACCAAACAAGTCAAGCGCGTGACAGTATTCTAAAACCACATAACACTGATTATTGTATTAATCAAGTGTTAGGTCATCTGGAGTTCAACTTCCCTTCAGAACCTCAAATACTGTACTAGTGGTCCACCTCTAAGTAGTGTTCCACAATAAACCTGCAGGAGCCTTCTGATGTTTGAAATCCACCCAAATGGAGCTATGATCGATGAGCAAGCTCTACAAATTAACTGCATGGCATGGCTGAAATTTTTAGTTAATTGAGTGTTAATGAAAAGAATGTCAGTAGTACATGTTAACACTCTAAATGCCCGGTAAAAAAACTTCACATTAAATACGTCCATGTTTCAGCTAAAGGATTCTGACTATTCAACATCAACTGGAAAATTAGCTAATTTCAATGAGAAATGAACAAAATGATCTGCACCACCCACATATTTGGAGATCCTGATCTACCCAAAGAAATGAATGCCCGAGTGTATCTGTGAGTCTATGTGTTCCAAGTCGAATTATATACTGAATAAAGACTTGTAACATTTACAAACAATGCAGATTAAATTGCACGGCTTGTTGTACGTGAAACACTGTGGGAAATTCAAATTTAAGATTGGTATCTTTTTCCAAACCTCAGTAACACAGCAGGGGGAAAAAAAAAAATCACCAGTGATTGCTTCACAAACCAATCTATTTTAAATGGATGTTGTCAATAGAAGGGTTTCACATCCAGGAATAGAACGCATGGAAGTTGAAGTTTCAATGACCTGTGAATTATAAACTCTACATAACTCTGTCTGGAGAATAATAAACAAGTGCAGCGCATGCCACGATTCACAAATCATCACTTTTCTACCATTTTAATTAGAAATAAACAATTAGCTTGCAGACTTCACTAGCAAATGCCTCCAAAATCCTTTTAAGAATACGTGGAAATCACAAAAGAAAATCGCATGTAAAGTCAGTCATGATTTAAAAAGCAACTCTGTCATAGTTTTCAGAGGGACAAGGCTAATCCATTAAAAAGAACTCAATTACAATTTTGGTCAAAACCATAAACGTGGTGAGACCATCAAATGATACAAATATTGTATGATCTCTCTTTATATGTGGAATCTTTTAAAAAAAATATTATTTATTTGAAAGAGACAGAGAACATGAGTGGGGGGAGGGGTAGAGGGAAAGGGACAGACTCCCCGCTGAGCAGGGAGCCCAACATGGGGCTCGATCCCAGGACCCCAGGATCATGATCTGAGCTGAAGGCAGGTGCTTAACCAAATGAGCCACCCAGATGCCCCTCTTACATGTGGAATCTAATGAAAAACAAAACAAAACAAAAAAAAACAAACCTCAAAAAACCAAAACCAACCAAGCTCATAAATACAGAGAGGAGACTGGTAGTTGCCAGAGGCAGGAAGTATGTGTGTTTGGGGGAGGGTCCGGGGGAAGGTGTGGATAGGGATAAAGGAGATCAAAAGGTGGTAATAATAATAAAATAACATTTTGAAGGGAAAAAAAACAAAGCAAAAAGTGATGTGGTCTCTTCTGCATCTGTCTCTCAGGATGGTGGAAATGGGTTGCAATAGGCTTACAGGAAGGAGGACCAGGTTAGGAGTTGTGATATTAGCTGAACTAAAGGCTTATTATTTTGTAATGTTTATTTTAAGTCAAACAAATGTTAAATGCATTAGGTGAACTAGTTGGTATAGATCTCTTTTTTTGAGATAAGTAATTAATAATGGCAAGAATAAAGCTCCAGAACACATATGCTTGGCAAGTCCTATGAATTATATAATTTGTAATAACTGGGTGTTGGAGGGCTCCATAATCTGGGGGGAAAAGGAGGTAGCGAAAGGGATCTCTATAAATTAGTCACATGTAAAGAGCTTTCCTGAGAGTGGGAAAGAGAGAGAGAGAATACAATTATATCTTGGTTGAAACCATAAATGGGGTAAAACAACCAAATGAGACCTTGTGAATGTCACAACTTCACAATCCTTGAATCCAGAAGAGGGCGGATGAGTAAGGACTGACTGGAAGAGTTAGGCCTGGTTTCTACTATTTGGTACACTTGTCTAGACCCTGAGTGACTGTGAACGATTAGGAACAAAGATCGGAAGCGAGAAAGAAGGTGAAGGAAGCGCCTTCTGCGTGAATAGGCATTCAGGAGGAGGGCCCTGTGTAGAAAGGCGCACATCATACATACCTAGAAAGAATAATGGCACCACGGTTTACATTAGCCCAGGACTTCAGGTTCTTCATACCAACATGCTCAACAAGTGTTTTTGCAAAACAACCTGAAAAATACACTGAAACTCAGTGAACACTATACAAGATTTAAACTCCCCATCTCCATCCCTACAGCCCTTAAGTCTGCAAACATATTTTAATAAAAAAGTGCATAAAAAGAGTTCTCACTCAACCTCCCTTAACACTAAAAGTTCCAGCTCCGATTTATTTAATGTCTTTTTAATACAGCTACTTCTTTCAACTCTGGTCTGAGTCTTAAACTATGTCTAGCAGTAATTACTCAAGACAAACAATGAATTCTTATAAAACGCTCACTTGCTCGTGTTTACATCTCTTTGTACTCTTTAATGATTTAACCCTGACCTGAAAGGTATTCAGGGAGTCAATGTTTGACAGTAGCACTTCATGCTTGGATGGAATCAAGGTCTCCCTTGTGAAAAATGCTCACTCGGAAGGTGCCATGAATAACACTAGTGGTCAGGTGGTGTTCCGGCTAACACCTGGTAATTTCTCTCCACAAAGCTGGACATTCACCCATCAAAAATATTATTCATCTTTTGTTAATTATTTCGTATGTTATTATCAGATTCCTCAGTTCTTGATATATCATCTTCAATTCACTGTGCCATCTAAGTGTAACTAATTTTGGACAACGGAGAAACTCTGAAAGCTAGGATCTGGTGCAGATGGAAGTGTGGGAAACCGATACTGAAGGCAAGTACCTTGGGTAGGTAGCATGTGTAATTCATCCAAAGAGACCCAAATGCGAGGACCCTTTAAAAGCCAAGAGGCCTATGGCTATTTAGCGTTTCACAGCACACGTTAAGGAAGGACCGTAATCAGCTAGTGAGGCAGACAGTGTGAGCACAACAATATTTCTAGAATGCTGCAACCCCCTCCCCCCCGCCCCAGCCAGAGGTGGAATCAATGTCTTCTTTTGCATTCTGGTGGGCCTTTGTGACTGACTCAACCAAGAGAGTGTGGGAAGAGCTACATTCAGTAACTTCTGAGGCTAAATCATAAAAGCACTGTACACCTGCTTTCTTCCCTTAAAACCTAACCACCATGTTGTGAAGAAGCCCGAGCAGCCCCGGGAGTGGGACCGAGGCTGCCGGACTGAGGCACTGCCAACCATCGTCCAAATGGACACGCCGACCCCAAGCGTAGCAGCCCCAGAGGACTGTGAGCGGAGCAAAACCAAGCTCCACCAAACTCCGATCTGATGTTGTTCGAGACCCACCAAGCTCTGAGGTGGCTGGTTACACAGCAAGAGATAACGAAGGCAGCCACACTGGTTTGGCGCTGCATGAATCTGATACGCACGTGAGGGCCATACAGGCGTGTTTTAGAGCTGTCAGTGTAACTGAATTAAGGAAAACTATCACTAGAACATTCTTCGGATTTTAAAAGCAAGCCAGACAATTCTTCAAATACGAACTCAGCTCAACTGTGCACCAACTTCTTAATAATGAAAAAGAGGCTTCAATATGTTATTTTTTCTTCAAAATTTGTTACAAGAAGCTTTGTCTTTCACAAAAAGTTTGCGATGAAAAACAGCCCCGAGTCTCTATTCTTAAAGGCAGAGTGAGAAGCAATAGCTCCACTGTATCGATTGCCTCACTAGCCATTAGAACTGCAACTTGCCTCAAGACATAAATTCACGATCTGTCCCCTTTTTCAGACACGATGACAGAAAGCACAAACTGCTCGAACTCAGTGGGGGGAGATCTCCTTAGTGGCCAAAACGCTGGATGGAGCTTGAATTTAGTTACAGGAGGTCTGCTCAAAGACGGGGCCGAGAAAGGAATGGTATGCAACTTTTCAATTTGATTAAAAGATACTGTCCTTCTCTTGAAAGCTGAGCTTCTACAGAGCAGCCAGGAGGGCTGTGAAAGACCACAAAGGCCAAGGACTGGCTTGCTCTGTGGTCACATGTATTTCAATGCCAAACAGGCCTCAGTTCAAAATTCTGATGAGGACAATTTTCTTTTGCTTATCCCTTCCTCCAAACTAGAGATAGATATCCTGCTTTTCAACTGGGGTAGTGACACTCACAAATGTCCTCCCGCCCCAGCTATCACCCCCCCATGGAACGGAATGGCATTTTAGGGCCCTGGTCGCTCCAGCTCAGAAGTCTGAGGTAGCAAGGGAGGAGTGGCAGTGAGGGAGGGTGGGGAAGAGAAAGGAAATTAAAGGACTCCAGGACATAAATTTCCAGTATTTACTAAAGCTTATCTGCAAGCACTAAATCATTTCTTGTCCAGAGACACCATTTCTAAACACTCAACAAATTTCATCTGAACGTAAATGGTGGGCATCAAGCTCAGGGCTGCCGGGGATTAGGAAATTCCATAGACGACACGGGAGAAGTTCAAGTCTTATAGCCTACCTTCTCTTCCACTTTCCTTCATCTTCTCATCTTGTTCTATTAACCACTTCAGAACTAAATGTCCTGCGGGATGCTCTGCAACGTGAAGCTGGAAGGAAAACATACAAAGCTGTCTTCAGCCACGCCCTGGCCTACCATCTGTTCTCTACCTCGCACAGGTGAGGACACGGCTGTGTGGAAAGTGCCACAATGCTGAGGAGGTCTTTAGGGAGAATGACCACCAATACCCAAAGGGCCCAGCGATCTCGTCTAATCCCCAGACTGACGCTCAGACGGATGTTCAAGGGAACCACTCAAAAGCACTGTGGCTCAGCTTCAGGAGTGCCCAGCTGAATGGCCCAGCACAGTGCCCGTCTCAAGATCACGCTAACCACCGTTCAGGCTGCAATAGCGTTCTGAGGTCCAAATAAACCTGTGGGACAAAACGGTACAGCAGAGAAACACGGAAAGCTGGGGCTGAATGATGTTTAGATATCAGCTGCTCCCACGTACCTAGGATCTCTCCTTATGGAGCATGGGGGACAACGCTCAATCTCCTAGGGAGAAAACTCATGCATACATCTTCCCAACTTGATAATCTGCTCTGCTCTACGAGGGCAGGTGCAGGGCTTCTCTGAGGCGCATGGGCCACATCAGGACACAGCAGGCTCGCCAAGCTTACGACCTAGTGCAGGACAAAGGCCCTGCCCGGTCTGCCTTCTGCCTCCTCTCTTCCCTCTGCCAGCTGATCTCCTACCCTGAGCCTTCTGTTCTCAACCGTGCCGGGCCCCTTCTTCCTTCAGACGGCCGCACGTGCTCTTCCCTCCGCCTACAGTCTTCTTCCTGCCTTTCTTTACTGAGCTACAACCCTCTGGTTTCGGCGTAGCTTTCACTGCCTCAGGGAAGCCTTCCTGCGGACAGGCTGGCTCCCATTCTCATACAGTCCCACAGAACCCGCAGTTTCCCTCACAGCGCTCATCTCGATCCTAACTTACGTAATTATCTGTGTACATGTTCATTTAAATACTGTGCGCAACAAAACAGTAAGCTTGCGGGGGGGAGGGACGGTGCCGACCACTGCCCCGCACAAATCAGGTACGTGAATCCGTGAACTTCAGGTGTAAGGCGGAACTATCAGGGGCCAAATAACAAGGCAGGAGCTATGAGAAGGAGCAGACTTCCTTAATGAGAGGGAACTGGGAAGACTTCCGCGAGAAGGACTCCGGGGACCGTGCGGGATGGGTGGGCCTTCTACAGAGACAGCACAGCAAAACGGAGACACAGACAGCATCTGGGCTGAGGGAGGGGACGTGTGCAAACGCAGAGAGATGCCAAAATCCACAGCAAACTCAGGACGGAATCAAGAGCACAGAAATACGCTGGAAAAGCACGTGGGGCCAGCCGTGGACAACAGAGAGCCGCATCAAGGAGATTCTGCCTGCCCTCCTCTGCAGGTCATACGAAGTCGCAGGGAGATTCTGAGGAAGACGGTGCTGCCACGGAGCTATCTTGAATTCACAGTGATCAGATGTGCTGCCAGCATGGGTGAGTTGAGGCAATGAGCACTCAAATTCTCCTTACGGCAACGTCCTCAGGGACAGGCGCTTCCCCCTGCCCGGCGGTAGCACGTTACCTCTCCGTCCCTGCCACCCGGCTGGAGCGCGGCCGCTGCCAAGCCAGCAATGGCGCTCATGGCAGGCTGAACGTCTCCAACGGCGGCTCCCAGGATGTCGGGCACCAACACACACGCAGACCTATCCAGCACCAGGGCCCGGGCGTGTCCTTGCAGGTAGCTTAACAAAGCGGGAGAGATGGCCTCCAAGAGCTCTCGCCGGCGGATCGCTGCGTCCTTCTTACTGTCGGAACACGGGGAATGAGGCGTTAAGGGAAGATGAACAGCAAAGGAAATACAACGATCTTATCACCACAAAAACCTCTAAGGGCTTGAAACAGTCCGTGTCAAACTTATCGTAATTGTCTGTCTCTAGTGTGTATGCAGGTAATAAGCAATTTAAGGGTGGGATACCTCTCTTTCATCTTCGTGTCCCCAGCATCTGAACAGTGCCTGGCACAGAGCAAGCACTTATGTAATACCAAGCCAGCCCAAACCCATCAAAAACCCAAACAACAGCAACAACAAATTATAAGACAGGATTAGACCACTCTATGGACTCTACTCTCTAGAATACTTCATTATGTGATACCAGTAGCTTAAAAGTGAAATCGATTTCCGGTGAGGATGGTGGCGTGGGAGGACCCTAGGCTCACCTCCTCCCACGGATACAACTAGGTAACACCCACATCAATGTAAATAACCCAGAGAACGACCACAGGATTGGCAGAACGGACTCTCCGTAGCTCAATGTGGAGAAGAGGCCATAACAGAGAGGATAGGAAGGGTGAAGACCTCCAGGACTGTCTATAGGAGGGAGGGGTGCAGTGCGCGTGGAAGAGGGCGGGAAACAGGCCCTCATGTCAGGCATCCCATGCACGGGGTGCCTGTATGGGGAAGACAAATCCCCACAACATCTGGCTTTGAAATTCAGCATGAGTTCTTACAATCAGTGGGGCTTACCACCTGGAGCTTTAAAGAAGGAGCGTGCTTGGCTTGGGAGAAGTGGGAGGGTGAGAGGAAATGGGAGTCCCCGCCTCAAGGAGACAGCACAACAAGCCGCCTGTGGAGACACAGCATAGAAGCCAGCAGGCTGAAAAGCATCTGGGACACACGGGAGGGAAGTCTGCTTACTAATCTCACAGCCTGGGGTGGGTGGAGGGGCAGAGGAGCCGGGACCCTTGGGAGACTTCTCCAGGAACAAAGAAGAGTGGGTCATTCCCCTTCCCTGTCCCCCAACCAAGATACATGGACACCTGCGGGAACGAGTGCCTGGACAACACTCTCCACGTGATTTGCTAACAGCGTGCCCAGCCCTGAGCACTTCTGCAGACACACCGCCTCCAGCTAGGCCTCTGCTCCAGGGCCCCTCCCACAGAAGACCACTGCAGACCTTGCTAACACCACATGCTCCACACGGCCTTCTCTTGCAGACCTCCCTCCAATACACCCCCGGCCAGAGACCATCCAAAGCAGCTCTGCAGACTGACAGGGGCCAGCACCACTCCAAAGCAACTCCTGCCCCGGGGAGAGCGAATGTTAACCACACACACACCAGTCCAGTGCAGCTCCAGCAGTGTCTGGGGGCAGATATCTGGTCTGACTGCAGGCCCCGCCCACCAACGAAAGCTTCTCAGGGGCCAACACTGCAGTTTGGTGCCACTGCATCTCTGGCAAACTTCTGGTCTGACAAATCAAGTCCAAGGCAACCCCCCTCCCGCCGGCCCACTAACAACACAGTCCCTGCCCACAACAGGGAAAGAGAGCCACTGCACATAATTGGAATGAAGGAAAAAGTGGCTCAGCCACAACAGTAGGGTGCACACAACACACATACTAGACACCCGAGTGCCAGGTTCTGGTGAACAGGGGACACGGCACTGCAGGACACTACAGGACCTCGTCTTCATAAGGACACTACCTTCAAGAGCAGGAGACATAGCTGACTTTCTTAACACACAGAAACAGACACAGAGAGTTAGACAAAATGAGGAGACAGAGGAACATGTCTCAAATGAAAGAACAGGACCAAAATCAGCAAGAGACATAAATGAAACAAAGATAATTAATATGCCTGATAGAGAACTTATAGTAATGGTCAGAAAGATACTCACTGGACTTGAGAAAAGAGTGGAGGATCTCAGTGAGACCCTCAACAAAAAGATAGAAAATAAAAAGACAATCAGACATGAAGAATATAGTAACTGAAATTAAAAAAAAAAAAATAGATGGAATAAGTAGTAGACTACAGGAAGCAGAACAGATCAGTGACCTGGAGGACAGAATGATGGAAAGCAATAGGAGAGAAATAGGAGAAAAAACAACAATAAAAAATGAAAATAGATTTAAGGGAACTCAGTGACAACATCAAGGGTAATAATATTCACATTATAGGAATCCCTGAAAAAGAAGAGAGAGAAAAGGGGCAGAAGACTTACTTGAAGAAATAACAGCTTAAAATTTCCCAAATCTAGGAAAGAAAGAAGATACCCAAATCCAGGAGGTACAGATAGCCCCTAACAAAATCAAACCAAGGAGGTCCACACCAAGATGAGTAATAATTCAAATGACAAAAAGTAGTGATAAAGAGAGAATTTTAAAAGCAGCAAGAGAAAAGAAAACATTTATATACAAGGGAAATCCCTAAGGGTATCAGTGGATTTTTCAGCAGAAACTTTACAGGCCAGAAGAGAGTGGCATGATATATTCAAAGTGCTCAAAGAAAAAAAGCTGCAACCAAGAATGCTCTACTCAACAAGGTTATCATTCAGGATAGAAGGAGAGATAAAGAGTTTCCCAGACAAAGAGAAGTTAAAGAAATTCAGCACCACTAAACCAGGCCTACAAGAAATGTTAGAGTGGACTCTAAGTGGAAAGGAAAGACCATAAGCAGAATTAAGAAAAGTAGGAAGCATAAAAGCAGTAAAATTAAGTAAATCTATAAATGTCAGTCAAGGGAGTCACAAAATAAAAGGATGTAAAGTATAACACCATATACCTAAAATGAGAGGGGGGAGGGGAAAACTACCAAATTTAGCGCTTTTAGAATGGGTTCCAACTAAGTGACCATCAACTTAACACAGACTGCTATATGCATAAGATGTCATATATAAACCTAATGATAACCACAATTCAAAAACCAGTAACAGATATGAACAGAATAAAGAAAAAGGAATCCAAGTATATCACTAAACAAAGCTAACAAACTGTGAAAGAAAAGAGCAAGAGAAGGAACCGAGAACTACAAAAACCATAAAACAAGTAACAAAAGGCAATAAGTACATATCCATCAAAACGTACTTTGAATGTAAATGGACTAAACACTCCAATCAAAAGACATAGGTTGACAGATGTATAAAAAAAGACCCATCTAAACATGGCCTACAAGACTCATTTCAGACTTAAAGACATGCACAATGCAAGTGAAGGGACGGAAAAACATTGATCATGGAAATGGAAGTAAAAAGAGAGCTGGGGTAGAAATACTTATATCCGACAAAACAGACTTTAAAACAAAGACTGCAACAAGAGACAAATGAGGATACTAAATATTTATTAAGGGGACAATCCAACAAGAAGACATGACAATTGTAAATATCTATGCACCCAACGTGGGAGCACCCAAATACATAAAGCGGTTAATAAAAGACATAAAGGAAGTAATCAATAGTAATACAATAATAGTAGGGGACCTTAACACCCCACTTACATCAATGGACAAATCATCTGAACAGAAAATCCACAAGGAAACAGTGGCTACGAGTGACACATTGCACCAGAGGGATTTAGCAGATATATTCAGAACATTCCACCCTAAAACAGTAGAATACACATTCTTTTCAAGTTCATATGGAATATTCTCCAGAATGGATCACATATTAGGCCACAAAACAAGTCTCAACAAATTCAAAAAGAATCATGTCATACTCTGTATTTTTCTGACCACAATTCTATGAAACTAGAATCAACCACAAGAAAAAATCTGGAAAGAACACAAATACATGGAGATTAAATAACATGATACTAAACAATGAATGGGTCAACCAAGAGGTCAAAGAAGAAATCAAAAAATGCTAGGAGACAAATGAAAATGAAGACACAACAATCCCCAATCTTTGGGATGTAGCAAAAGTGGTGCTAAGAGGTAAATATACAGCAATACTGGCCTGCTTCAAGAAGCAAGAAACATCTCAAAAAGACAATCTAACCTTACACCTAAGAGAGCTAGAAAAAAGAACAAAGAAACCCCAAAGCAGTAGAAGGAAGGAAATACTAAAATCTGAACAGAAATAAACAAAATAGAAACTAAAAAAAAAGAAAACAAAAAAACAGATCAATGAAACCAGGAACTGATTCATTGAAAAGATGAACAAATTAATAAACCGTTAGCCAGACTCATCAAAAAAAGAGAGGGCTCAAATAATCAAAATTGGAAATTAGAGAGGAGAAATAACAACCCACACCACAGAATACAGAGGATTACAAGAGGATCTTATGAAAAATTAAATGCCCACAAACTGGACAACCTATAAGAAATGGGTAAGTTCCTAGAAACATAACCTCCCAAAACTAAATCCGGAAGAAACAGAAAATTTGAACAGGCTGACTACCAGCAATGAAACTGAAAGAGTAATCAAAAAATTTCCAACACACAAAAGTCCAGGACCAGATGGCTTCACTGGTGAATTTCTACCAAACATTTAATGAAGAGTTAATACCTATTCTTTTCAAACTATTCCAAAAAATAGAAGGAAAGCTTCTAAATTCATTCTGTAAGGCCAGCATTACGCTGATACCAAACCAGATAAAGTCAACTACAAAAAAGAAAGAGAATCACAGGCCAATATCTCTGATAAACACAGATGCAAAAATCCTCAACAACATATTAGCAAACCAAATCCATTAATCCATTAAAAAAAAATCATCCTCCACAATCTAGTGGGATTTATTCTTGGGATGCAAGGGTGGTTCAATATTCACAAATCAATCAACATGATACATCACAAAAACAAGAGAAAGGATAAAAACCGTATGATCATTTCAATAAATGCAGAAAAAGCATCTGACAAAGTACAACATCCATTCATGATAGAAACCCTCAAAAAGTAGGTTTAGAGGGAACATACCTCAACATAATAAAGCCCGTATATTAAAAACCCACGGCTAACATCATCTTCAATGATGAAAAACCGAGAGCTTTCCCCTAAGATCAGGAATAAGACAAGGATGTCCACTCTCACTACTTTTATTCGACAGAGTACTAGAAGCGCTAGCCACTGCACTTTCACTATTTGCAGATGACATGACGCTGTATCGAGTAAACCTTAAAGACTCCACCAAAAAACTACTAGACCTGATAAATGAATTCAGGCTGCAGGATACAAAATCAATATACAGAAATCTGTTGCATTTCTATACACTAATAATGAAGCAATAGGAAAATTAAGAGAACAATTCCATTTACAATTGCACCAACAAGAAGAAAATACACAGGAATAAACTTAAACAAGGAGATGAAAGACCTATACTCTGAAAATTATAAAACACTGATGAAAGAAATTGAAGGTGACACAAACAAATGGAAAAATATTCTGTGCTCATGAACTGGAAGAACAAATATTGTTAAAATGTCCATACTACCCAAAGCAATCTACAGATGTAATGCAATCCCTATCAAAATACCAACAGCATTTTTCCCATAACTTGAACAAATAATCCTAAAATTTGTATGGAACTACAAAAGACCTTGAATAGCCAAAGCAATCTTGAAAAAGAATACAACTGGAGGTATCGCAATCCCAGATTTCAAGATACACAAAGCTGGAGTAATCAAAACAGTAAGAAACTGACACAAAAACAGACACACAGATCGATGGAAAAGAACAGAGAGCCCAGAAATAAACCCACAATTATAGGGTCAATTAATCTTCAACAAAGGATTGTGAGGCAAGAATATGCAATGGGAAAAGAACAGTCTCTTCAACAAAGGTGTTGGGAAAACGGGACAGCTACATGCAAAAGAACGAAGCTGGACCACTTTGTTACACCATACACAAAAATAAACTCAAAATAGATTAAGGACCTAAATGTAAGACCCGAAATCACGAAAATCCAAGAAGAGAACATAGGCAGTAATTTCTCTGACATCGGCCGTAGCAACTTTTTTCTAGATATGCCTCCTGAGGCAAGAGAAAGGAAAGCTAAAATAAACTAAAACTAAAAAAGCTTCTGCACAGCCAAGGAAACAATCAACAAAACTAAAAGACAACCTACAGAGTGAGAGAAGATATTTGCAAGTGACATATCTGATAATGGGTTAGTATCCAAAACATATAAAGAACTTACACAACTCAACACCAGAAAAACAATAAAAATGGACAGAAGATATGAATAGACATTTCTCCAAAGAAGCCATCCAGATGGCCAACAGACAAATGAAAAGATGCTCAATATCACTCATCATCAGGAAAGAGCAAATCAAAATCACAACGAGATACTACCTCATATCTGTCAAGATCAATGACACAAGAAACAAGTTTTGGCGAGGATGTAGAGAAAAAGGAACTCTCGTGCACTGGTGGTTGGAATGCAAACTGGGGCAGCCACTGTGGGGAAACGGTACGGACATTCCTCAAAAAACTACAAACAGAAATATCTTATGACCCAGTAATCCCATTACTAGGTATTTACCCAAAGAATATGAAAACACGAATTTGAAAAGATACACGCACCCTTATGTTTAGTGCAGCATTATTTACAACAGCCAAATTATGAAAGCAGCACACAAGTGTCCACTGATTGATGAACGGATAAAGAAGAGGTAGTATATATATAATGGAATATCATTCAGCCATGAAAAAAAAAAAAGATTGAGAGCTTGCCATCTGCAACAACATGGATGGCTCTACAGGGTAGAATGCTTAATGAAATAAGTCCGTCAGAGAAAGATAAATACCATATGATTTCGTTCGCACGTAGAATTTAAGAAACCAAATGAAAAAAGAAGAAAAAGAGACAAACCAAAAACCAAACTCTCAACTCTAGAGAACAAATGAAGTGTTACCAGAGGGGAGGTGGGTGGGGGGGGGGATGGGTAAAATAGGTGAAGTGCATTTAAAAAGCACACTTAACATGATGAGCATGGAGTAATGTACAGAACTGTTCAATCACTACATTGTACACCTGAAGCTAATATAACACTGTATGTTAACTATACCTGAGTTAAAAAAACAAAACAACAAACCTCAAAAAAATTGCTATAGTTTAAACTAAACAAATAAATAGCAAAAACAAGCCAAACCACATACACTGAGCATCTACTATGTGCCAGGCACTCAGAGGCATTCTTTTGGCACGATACTTTTCTTTTCCAGATAAGAACTTTAAGAATCTGTCAAAATTACAGGCTTAAAAATGGGGTTCACCTTCTGAGTTTTAAGCAGAGAAGAAGCACGATAGAGGGTATGCATGCATGAGCAGATTTCTGGAAACATCAGCTACTCGAAACTAAGAAGCAAGCAGAGCAGGGGAACAAAGGGCTCCGGTGACTCGACTCTTCTTACCTGTGTGCGTTGCCATCTCCTTTCTGTAGAACCTCAATGATCTCTCGCACCGTATGTGCAGGATCTCTGGGGCTCAGTAAATACAACAGGACCTTCCTTCCATATTTGTCATTTATTATGTTAGGCAAAGAACTAATAATTTCCTGGAAAATTAAAGAAACAAAAAATGAACCTATGTGCTTAAAATGATGTACACTTGAAATCTGCAGGGTACAGAAGGATCCATGCCTAACTATTTTCTCCTATGCACGTAATAGAAAATGTGGAGCTAATTTTGAAATCTGGTCCTTAAAGCACAAAGACTGACACTCAGAACTGATTCTGGACTGTGACCAGCATTGCTGAACAAGCCGTTTATACAACTGACCGAGCTCAAGGACTTAAAAAATCTTTACAGGAGTTCTCTTCTTTCACTATGACCAATAGTTCTCAGGCCACTATTACTAGGGACACGGCTTGCTGGGGTCACCGAGCAGATATAGTTAATTTGCAGCTGCTTTACATGTAGAATTGGCATAGATGAAGAACATTCTTATTAGAATTTCCCCACTGAGATGTATGTGAAGAGAGATAAAGGAACTCTGTTGCATCGAACCAGTGAATAAAGGCTTTTAACATTAGTTGCTTATTCATGGCAAATGAAGGCTGTTTAAGTATTGCATTGAAAACAAAACTAGGGGGACGGGGATCAATGCAGAAAGAGTCCACCGAGCAGTTACAAATAATTACGCTCTATGACATCTCCAATCAACTTCCCAAGAACAATAATCTCCTTTTCTAGTTGTCTGAATTGAACTGACAAAGGCATGTCATCCCCACCCCAGCTAAGCTCCTGTGTAAATGTGCTGATGTTCTCAAAGTCATGGTTTAAAAATTCCTTTATTCTAAAAAAAAAAAAAAAAAAAATTCTCTATTATTCTTTTTTTTTTTTTTAAAGATTTTATTTATTTATTTGAGAGAGAGAATGAGATAGAGAGAGCATGAGAGGGGGGAGGGGCAGAGGGAGAAGCAGACTCCCCGCCGAGCAGGGAGCCCGATGCGGGACTCGATCCCGGGACTCCGGGATCATGACCTGAGCCGAAGGCAGTCGCTTAACCAACTGAGCCACCCAGGCGCCCTCTCTATTATTCTTAATAGAGAATCTGCAACAGAAAAAAATCGTCTGTTTTCCCCTGTAACATTCCTAATCCTTGCAACAAGCCTAACAGATATTCACAGCTACAGGTGTTTGCGCAGCACAGATCCAGCACAACGGGCTGGGGCCACAGAGAGAATGCCGTGCAAGTCTTCAGGTTTACAGATGAGGGACCCATGAAGGGGAGAAGTGACCTGCCAGAGGACACAGCCTGTCAGTGGCGGGGCTCTCACTCGTCTTGGTCCCCTGACTCCATGGAAGGGAATTCTCCGTGAGATAATATACTCAGATGTGCTATCTTCTTAAGTAACCATTGATTATAATGAGATTAATAATTTAATGCAAGGAGCCAAGTTAAAATGAAGTTGGTCATGGAGGAGATCCCAATAGTACAAAATCTGTGGCCCCAAGGTTGGCAATGCAACTCCAGAATCCACACACCACGGTTCTCTTTTTAAAATCCCAACCTTCCCACATTGTCTGCACAGAAGTATACTGTGCTTATTAGGCACTTAGAGGAACCAGACCCAACGTGAAGAGCAGTATACCCATTACCCTAAATACTCTTTGCAACACCATGACAGAGGGAGTATAGTTACTTCCGTCTTGCTAACAAGAAGCCCGAGGTTTAGATAAGTGACTTGTAGTAGATGTGTAAAGGTCACTCATGCAGGACGTGGCTGACCCAAGACCACGGGTTTCCATGGTTTTAAACCCCGTTGTACTCTTACTTTTGAAGATGTTTAAGGTCACATATGAAGATCTCCCCATACAACGTAAAGGTTTGTAGAGAATAGGTGCTAAAGATCTAACCATCTCGAAATGAATATGAACTTCAACCATCCAGGAAAAAAAGAACTTAAAATTTCAGTAAAGAAAGGAAGACAGAAAAAAATGTTCATACCTTATCATGAGGGAGGGAGCTCTTTTGTAATCTCAAGGTAAACATGTCCCAAAGCAGGCTCAGGATATGTATTTTTTATAATGAGGCATTTGGTACCACAGATAGAGGTTACCTTTAGTGTGACTTTCCGATTTAAGGTTTAACCAACTCATAAAAGACAGATGCTTTAATCTGTTAATACACAGCGTAGGTCAATTCCTACAATCATTAACCCGCCCCCGCCCGCTTGCTGTCCTTCAGAAAACCACTCTGGGGTATAATATCTTTAGAGCAATTGCTTTTTTGAAAAACAAAAACCCAAAGAATCAAAAACCAAAACAAAACCAACAAAACCAAACCCCAGGGGAGTATGCAGTAAAGAGCTACAAATGGCTGCTGATTTATTTCTAATTAAAGTTTTTTCCTTTGGTGTGAAGGGGAAAAGGGGAGACATGAAGCCAGCAACGTACTCCTGGACGTACTTCCTCTGCGGAGGTGACACTTGAGGGCTAGTACAAGGCACACGGTTTGGACAGAAAGGGCTTCACCTCAACACAAGAAGCCAGGGCTTCCAAAATACACACAAAACCCAAGCACAACTACTACTTAGGACTAGTCCCCAACTTCACTGAACTTCTCCTTCCTTTCTAAATTTCGAATCTAAACTTATGTTCTAAATTTCAGGTTTTTAAGAGAGTGCAATGTTTATAAACTAACAATCATATGAAACTAAAAAAATCTTTACTTAAAAATGTGGTATCATGAGGGGCGCCTGGGTGGCTCAGCTGGTGAAGCCGAGTTTTGATTTTGGCCCGGGTCATGATCTCAGGGGCGTGGGATCCAGCCGTGAGTCGGGCTCCCCGTGGAGCTTTGCGCTGGGTGTGGAGCCTGCTTGGGATTCTCTCTCCTCCCTCCCTGTGCCCCTCCCCACCTTAAAAAAATGTGATGTCATTTAATTCTCCCCATCTCACTCTCAGCCAGCTTTCCTACCATCAAAAACATTCATCTTGGAAAAAATAAAATAGTATGAGCATGGCTACATTACAGAGTGCTAATTCATTTCTCTTTAACGTGGATTACAGAGAAGGAGGAGAGAAATTTCTAGATGATCCCCCCAAACACTAATGAGTACAGTAACATGCAGAAATAGGTAAGGGGTAGCTATGGCACAGATGACCGTGTGCTGGATTCGATCTTTGGGCTCAAGCTGTGTAGCCTTTGGCAAATCAGCCAACCTCTCTGCCTATCAACTCCCTCATCTGTAGAAGGAAATGATACACCTGCCTCACTTGTGGGTCGTTAGCAGGAGCAAATGAGAAAATTCACACTGCAAACTGAAAAGTGCTTTAAAGTAATTTATGTCCATATTAAAAACACACCTCTCAATTTACAGGATCTTTAACTGTGAAATTAAGTAAAGCTGCTGGGGTCATGATTTTGGCATCCTCGAGAGAGAGAACCCCCAACAACGAAGGTTCAATTTTAAAGGTTTTTGACTCAGCTATCCCTCTTACAAGAATTAACACAGAGAAAATCCCAAGACCCATTTGTTGTAACTTCTTTGTGTGCTTCACTCTAGGGCAGGCGTGTGGACCGGAGCAGAGTGCGGTGGAAGAATAAAACCCCTCCCTCCGAAGACATGTTTGCCCAGTTCTGACTGTCCAACTTGTGTTGGACCCTTAGGAGATTCACAGGCATTCTTGTTTTGCCAACCCTCTTTTAAAAAGGAAAAGTAAGGGTCACGATAAAGGGTGCGCCCTGGAAGCAGGGTCAGAGCACACGTCTTGCACTTTCGGTGGAAGGAGGGCATGCAGAAAGCAGCGCACAATACCGAGAACAGAGCCTGGGGTGCTGCGTGCGGGGCCAGCAAGAGATGCACGCTGGCCATAACCTACAAGAGCCAAAATCTACTGGAAGAGGCAAGAGAAGTGTAATAAAAAGAGAATAATACCAATGAGAGGTAAAGAATGGAGAAGTATAAAAGGAAGATCGCCAGGCAAGGACTGCAGCCCCTTAAGTGCTTCTTTTAAACCTATGGTGATTCCGTCCAGAAGTACACCTCTTTGACTGTAATCACACAATGGAAGATAGAGTTTAATGAGTGTCATTTCAGTTTTGCAAGATGAAAAAGTTCCGGAGATTGGCTCCACAACATTGTGCATACACTTAATACTACTGAACTTCAAAATGCTGGGAGTTTCTCTCTCTCCATCCCCTTCACCAATGTCGTCCATTCCACCCCCCCACCCCGGCAACCTGTTCTCTGTATTTATGAGTGTATTTCTGATGTTTGTTTACTTGTTGTTACAAAATGAGTAAGTCACAGGGCTGTAGAGTCCAGCACAGGGAACCGAGTTGGCAATATTGTAATAGCCTTGTATGGTGACCCATGGTGACTACATTTATCATGGTGAGCACACAGTAATGTATGTAATTGTCCAATCACTATGCTGTACACCTGAAACTAATAAAATAGTGTATGCCAACCTTACTTCAATAAAAAAAAGTGTGCAAAAAAAGGAGGGGAAGGTTAAGATGGTAAATTTTTTTTTTTTTTTAAAGATTTTATTTATTTATTTGACAGAGAGAGACACAGCGAGAGAGGGAACACAAGCAGGGGGACTGGGAGAGGGAGAAG